CCGCCGCGCTCGCCGCGGGCCCCCGACCGCTACCCGGGCCCGCCCCCCGCCCGACCCGGCCACCCCTCCGCCCTAACACGCCTCCCCCCCTTTTTGGACGCGGCCGCACCCCACGCCGCCGGATTTCCGAACTCCTACTCAGTACGACGCAGGGTGGACGAGATTTTTCGTAATCGTCTGATTTGGAAGTTAAAGTGGCTTGTGGAAAGGAGGATGGGTCGGTTGGATGGGAACTCCGACACAGGTTTTTTTTTCACCGCGTTCAGTTACTAAAAACGTGTGATAACCCCCCCCCCCCCGTCCTCCAAGTTCTTTCTAAAATGGAACTTTCATGGGCTCTTTTTCACACAGCACAGGTTCCAAATTTACTCGATTTGCTTAACTTTCCCTTCCTCCTTACGCCGCACCTTCGGCTTCCCCTCTCCCTCTCGTTCTTTCGTCTGCCTTCGGGATACACCCACGAGTGTCCGCGATGATTTGCGTACGCACTTACGAAGCTCTGGTTTTTAAGGAGAGATTTTGCAGAGGACGTTTTCTTTTGTTCTTGGTTCTCCTAGCAGGACGTTTAATTGATAAAAGTGAAGACGCGTCCTGTCTTTTCTGATAATGAGGAGAACAGTCCTGCCGCTAAATACAAACAAGTGACATGTGGGAAGGCTTCCTGTGGTTGCGGCAACCTGATCCTATCCCAAATCCCTTTTTCATCGCTGCGTTGCAACCCCTCGGTGGTTGTGCGACTTTTGGCAATTCCTGTGTGTGAGGACGTGTTTGTCAATAAAAGATGGATGAAACTGAATATTGCGTATTATATTCTCTTGATTGCAGTGACCTCTTCCTCCTATTGCAGACGCAGTTTTTGGATGTGTGAGTGTGCATGCATGTGTGTGGCGTACGCAATAGCGCGGGGGGCGGGGTATGGGGAGGGGTGCGGTCTTCGGCAAAGCTGCGTTCTGTTGGCAGGAGGCGGACGGCGTGGCAGGAGGCAAAGCCTTCCCGTCCGTGTCGTGGACTGCGGCGCGGCTACCGGCCAGCAGAGCCTCTCTTGTCCGCGGCCACATGCGCCACGAGTGCGGGAAGCTGCCGCAGCTGCGTTGCCCGCACTGGGCCCGTACCTCCCAAGCACAAATGGCCAACCTGCGGCGACCGTGGCCTCGCGCCAACGGCGGCGCGTGACGCGGCAGGGAGCGAACGGGCGAGCGAGCGCGCGCGGCGGCGAGAAGTGGGCGTGCGGGAGACGGCGGCTTGCGCCCACGCAACGCCCGCGCGCATCGCCGCGTTGCCGCGCGTCTCGCGCGCTCAGCGGCCGACGCAGCCGGCCGGCGCGGGGGCCCTCGGCGGGTGGCGCGGACGGCCTCGCGGAGGCGCGAGTAGCCCCGGTTAGTCGCGCCGGCCTGCCCGCCGCCTCGCCTCGCCTGGCGGCCGCAGCGCGCCGCCAGGCCCCAGCCAGGCGCCGCCCTGCTTGTTGCAGAGGCGGGCGGAGCGGGCGGCCCGGGGGCCCGGTTGCGTTCGGGCGGCGGCGGCCCGTGCTGGCGGCGCCGTGGCTCGCCGGCCGACCACGGCGGCCGTGGCGTGCCCGAACTGCCGGCCGCGCCTACCAATGGAAGGTCACCTCGGACGCCACCGCCCGCTACAGTGTTCGGGCGCGCGCCAGTTCCAGTGCGGCCGTTGCCCCAAGAAGTACAAGCGCCAACGGACGCACCTCTGCGCCACGCCGGCCTGGCGCACCGCTCGCTGACCGCCGCCGCGCCCCCCGCCGCAGACGCCGGGCCCGGCTGAGGGCCTCGGGCGCTCTGCCCCGCGCCCGCCCCCGCCCGACCCCCGGTGCCCCCGGTGCTGACGCCGCTCTCTGCCGCAGGGCTCCCCGCTGCAGCAGCGCGGTGGCGGTGGCGGCGGCGCCGCCGGGGGCCGAGAGCGGCTCCCTGGCCGGAGGCGTCGCCGCGCCGGGCGCGTTCGTTTGTGGGCGCTGCGGCAAGTGCTATGCTTCCAAGGGCAACCTGTCTCGTCACCTCAAGTTTGAATGTGGCCAGGAACCGCGCTTTCAGTGTCCGCATTGCCCGCAGCGCACTAAACACAAGAGCAGCCTCATAGCACACATTGGCAACAAGCACCGTGCCCTGCCCCTATAGTCTTGCCCCACGGTGCTCTTTATACTGGCCGTGCCGGTCCTCAGGTGCACCCTGTTGCAGGTGGTGGCGTAGTGATGACGGGTGGGGCCATGGGTGCCATGTGCAGCTTAATGGTACCTCCTGACTCTGCCTGCCCACGCTGTGGCAACATCTACCGCTACCGCAAGAATATGTTACGTCATTTGAATTTGGAGTGTGGTAAAGAACCACAGTTCCGATGCCCACACTGTCCACATCGTACCAAGCATAAGAACCATCTGTTGCGGCATTTAAAATTGCACCTTTGAACTTCATCCTCCATCGCATTCGCGAAATTTCCAAATATTGGACTAATTTTGAACTGAATATTTATGATACAATAGATTATAACTCATGTGATGTTGCAGAGCATATGCTGTGTTGAATATGTACATTATATTCTGTATATAATATAAATCAGAATGGAAGATATGTTGTTTTATAGTTTGAGGCCTATATCTTGTCCTCTATCCTAGCATGCCCATCTTTTCATTCAATGATCCTGTCCTTTCCCTGACGCTGTTCTCTGTTCCAGTTGGGGGCACATTGCCTGTTGAGCAGTGTCCACAGTGTGGGAATGTCTACAGTTATCGCAAGAGCCTTATTCGTCACTTACGACATGAATGTGGACTGCCCCCGAGAATCCAGTGCCCACACTGTCCCTGGCGAGCCAAGCACAACAGTCATATGATTCGCCATATACGAGCTCGTCATCCTTCATTTGGTGACTCTCACCTGCCCACAACATGGTGATGATGGGCAAGCTATTTGCAAGGTGCATTGTGCAATACACTTGTTATTACTATCCATGTGTTGCCATCTTTGGGCTTTCAAAGTTTGATTTGGAAGGTATTGAAAGATTTTCTTTTGTCAACTAATTATGTTTAATTGACAATTGTGTCATGTCCATGTAAGAAGCTAGCACGAGTAAATTTCCAATCTTCAATTTCTGAACACTTTTTCTATTAATTGATTAGAATAATTCAGACAATATATCTCCCATCCACCAACACAATTTTATTGTTGAAGAAAAGAAGATTGAGAATTTTAATATGTTCAACAGTTATTCCAGAAAATTGTGAATAATGAAGTTCAAATAATTGTTTGCTGTGAAAACTGATTTTATGGTTTAATTCGACTTTAAGTGTTCTTTTGATAAGATGAATAATGAAACACTTTAGGAGGTAACTTATCCGTAATCATTCATGCTTATAACGTCTTGAATTTTTTTTAATCAATATGTTTCAAAAAGTAGATACAATAAGAATCTGCTATTAAATAAAAATATGTGGATATATCCAGTAAAATAAATTATAAAATTTTCATGTTTACTTCCTTAATACATGTTTAATGTTAATGTGAAACTCAGTCATGAATTGGACGGAGACCAAATGTTGTAAGTGACAAGAACATGGGTGTGTGTTTCAGGGCCATGGATAGGTGTGCTGTCTATGTGTCCACAATGTGGGCGTGCCTATCGCCGCCGTGACACCATGCTACGGCATCTGGCACGTGAGTGCCAGCGTGATCCTCAACTAGCGTGTGTTGTGTGCTCACGGCGTTTCTATCATGAACATCATCGACAGAATCACATGCGTCGTGTACATGGACTGGATGCGCTGGCATTTACTCTCAGTGCAACTGCTGTCTTGCAGCCTTCACCACACACATCACCACAGCTGCTCTAGTCTCAATAAATGCAGCTTCATCAAAATTTTTGTATTTCATTAAAATTTCTCTATCCTCAACTTTAGAGATAGTCTTGATTCACCATGGACCAAGGAAAATGTGTAATTATGAATAAATCTCTAATCGAATCTTCAGACAAATTTCTCTCCAGCTTTGCTTCAAGTATGTATTTGTATTTTTTGTTTCAGGTACTATTGAAGAAATCCTTGGGGAACCAGTTGATTTTGGACCTTTGCTTATGACTGCTGAGCCCTCTGGAGTAGGAGAGGTTGCTATTGATGAGTTTACTTTTGATGATGATGAATTGTTTGCTGACAATGTTCATGATTTTGATGCATCATCTAACCAAGTTGGTGATTCTGTTAGGAATGAAATTAGACAAGAGTTTCTCTCCTGCCTGCGTAGAAAATTAAATGCTGCGTTGACTTCAAGACCATTGCGAAGGAGTCCAGAGGATTGTTAGCTGAAGCAAAGGGGAAATGAACTGTAATTGTAATTTGGTACCTTTTGGGGAATGATGTAAGAAAAGGAATAAGTTTAGTGGTGGGGTGCAATGTCAGGCATCACACCAGTTATTGCAGAGGTGCAGAGATCATTACATCCCTTCTGTCCACTGCTCTATTGTGATCCCCAACTGCCTCAATCCTAGGGCCCTGGCGCAACTGCCCCCGCACCGTGACGCAGGGGCATATGTTGCAGGGTTGCAGGGGCTGTCAGCTGGTGCTGGCGCCTACTTCCAGTGTCCCAATTGCTGTAAGCTGTACAAGCACAAGAAGACCATGAACCGCCACCTGAGGTTGGAGTGTGGCATTGAACCACAATTCCGATGCTTGTTCTGCCCTCATCGATCTAAACAGAAGAATCATCTAGTAAAACACATGCGTAGCAAACACAATGCTCCTTGAAATAATTGTTTTTCTTTTTGTTTGTTCTTTGAGTAATACTGTGTATTCATGCTGTTCAATAAAGTTGTGTTTGAAGAAATTGCTGTACATGTTCTTATATATCCTTGCTTCTTAATATTTATTGAGTTGCTTCTAAGTGTCTTTCTTGATATAGTTTATTTTAGGCAGCTGTGGCTTGATTATTGCCGGAAAAATCTTTTGCAATTTTTTCATACGTACATTCAGAACCATTGTAGCTTATATCAGCTACATGGATGTTACTGCCAATTTGTTATTGCCCTTTCTGCTTTTTCTTCGTGCCATTTTAGAGAAGATTCTGAAGATAATTGTTGAAGTTAGTCCTTGAACTTCACATTTTCCAGATTAAGAAACATGCATGTCATAGGAATCATTTCAGTAAAATGGAAGTTTCAATTGATTAGAAGAGGCATGCTGATTCATGCTCTGTTGCAGGGCCAGTGGGTGGCATGAGTCTGCGCTTCCCCTGCCCAAGATGCGGCAAGGCTTACAATCGCAGAGACAACATGCTGCGTCACATTCGTGTAGAATGTGGCAAAGAGCCACAGTGCCAGTGCCCCTTCTGCAACTACCGCACAAAGCACTTTCACAACCTTCGGAAACACTTGATTGTCAAGCACAGCATTGTAGCTTCCAGGTGATCAGGAAGAGGCAGGCTGACCTATGCTGTGTTGCAGGGATGGTGAGTGCCATTGGTCTCCGGTTTGCCTGTGCGTCATGTGGGAAGGCCTACAAGCACCGAGGGGACTTGCTGCGCCATGTACGAATTGAGTGTGGTAAGGAGCCACAGTGTCAATGTCCATTCTGCAACTATCGTACCAAGCATGCTCACCATTTGCGAACCCATGTGGGACGTAAACACTCTAACTGTCTTCTACCGAGGTAGATCCTGTTATGTACACCATAACACGTTCTGTAAAACAGTTGTCTGTGCAATTGTCCTATGTGTGATATGTAGTTTCTGGTTACTTTGTGCAATGTCATACTCTCAAGGTGCCTGAATTCGATGTGTATGTGATTTGTTCAATAAAGGAAGTTGAACGAAAGAGTAAATTATTGTTACTTATATGAACCTCTTTGTCCCTTGCCTTACTTGTCAATTCAACTGACTCATACTCTGTTTCAGGGTCAACAGCTGTCAAGAGCAGTTATCCTTGTTCCAAATGTGGGAAGTCTTACAGTCGATGGAGCAATTTAATTCGCCACTTACGCTTTGAATGTGGAAAGGAGCCTCAGTGTCAGTGCCCGTATTGTAGTTACCGCACAAATCATTCATATCACTTGCGTACTCATATAGTTCGAAGACATCTCAACAAGTTGACATGTTAATTGTGTCAATTGTAGTGTACAGAACATACCATGATGATTTTTATAAATCTGAATTGTCTGTCTAGTTAATATATGATCTTACCTGCATTCCCGGTGTATGTTAGCACAGAAATAAAGATAATTGCCATACATTTTACTTGAGTTAAATCTTGAAATCCTCATTGCTTGTTGCATCCTCTGACATCACAACTGACACATGTTCTGTTGCAGGATCTCTTGCTGTGGGATATGTATGGTATCCCTGCCCAACATGCGGAAAATCATACAATCGTTGGAGCAATATGATACGACACTTGCGCATTGAGTGTGGGAAGGAGCCTCAGTGCCAGTGTCCTTTCTGCAGTTATCGTGCGAAGCACGCTCATCATTTGCGGAGGCATTTACAACGCAAACACTGCATAGACCCTTCTGCTGCTGCCATTGATAAGGCAGTCTGATGCATGCTGTGTTGCAGGGCTGGTGAGTGGCTCTGGCTTACGCTTCCCATGTCCATCCTGTGGAAAATCATACCATCGTCGATGTGATATGCTGCGCCATTTGCGAATCGAGTGCGGCAAGGATCCACAGTGTCAATGCCCGTACTGTCACTACCGCACAAAGCGAAATTCAAATCTGCTTGTGCATTTACGACGCAAACATCCTGGGCAACCAACACTGCGTGTGCTTGGCTGAACTGTATAGCAGGGTCAGTAAAAATCACAGACTTTCCAGATGCAAGGACATAGTCATGGTATTACTTTATATTGTATTATATTCTGAAATTGCATCTACTGTGTATATGAAATTTGTAATAAAGACAAATGGCCAGTTCAGCTGTGCTCTTGATTTAGAGCCCTATTCTCTGCCTACCTTTATTTTATTTGCCATTTCTAACTTTTCTTCTGTTGCAGGTGGATGTGGTATGTGGTTTCCCTGTCCATCATGTGGGAAGGCATACAACAGACGGCACAACATGTTACGACACTGGCGTATTGAATGTGGAAAGGAGCCACAGTGCCAGTGTCCATACTGCAGTTTTCGAACCAAACGCAATTCAAATCTTGTTTTGCACCTTCGCCGTATGCATGGGGCAGCAAAACAGACTTCTGAGCTAGATGTGGCATACTGATGTATGCTATGTTGCAGGACTGGTGGACGACATTGCGGCACGTTTTCCCTGCCCATCTTGTACCAGGGAATACAAACATCGGCGCAATTTAATACGTCATATTCGATTTGAATGTGGCAAGGAGCCGCAGTTTCATTGTCCAACTTGCAGTTATCGTGGCAAACATCGACATGCCCTTCTTTCTCATCTTTGCTCCACAGGACATGGAGCAATGTACTGAGAAGGTCTATTTTGCATTTTGTGCCATTTAATATTTGGCCAGGTTCGTGTCAACCGACCCATGTGTATGTATAACTGATATTAATGTCATATTGACATTACATGTGCAATGACACAAAATGTACAATAATGTTGGAAGTAAATAAAACAGAATTGATTTGTGGAAAAATCATTTAGTCATCTTTGTGATCTTTCTCATTTTGTCATATTTAGTTTTATTTATATATTAATCAAAATTAAATTCTAATTAATTCATGTACTCTTGACATGCATGTTAGGAAGAGTAGTAATTCCATTTTTTTGTCTACATTGCTTATCTTCATAAATAAAACAACCTTGTAATAGTTTTCCTTCATCTTGGTGTTCATTGCAATTTGGCAAGTAATGTGAGATGACTTAATACTAAATGTATTACAAAAACATTCCAAAGTATGTGAATTTGCCATTTTACTTGTTCTAAATACAATCAGTTGTACTTGAATGTAAACTGGATGACCTAAGCAATAAAGATAATTATTGGTTTGTTGATCTGGTTCACTCACTTGTTTGTGTATTTTACTTTTCTCTATTATATTATTCACCTCTCATATGTTGAAGGAAATCTCTTTTAATGCTTGCTAAACTATTTTAATTCTTTAATTTACTCTTATCAGTTGTTTTTAAGTTCACTGCAAAACTTTTTAGTGTTCATGTCATTACAAATTAAAATTTAATTAAGTAGAATGTGTCTTATTTCATGGGCAATGTTTAAATCACTTCTTTTCATATTGTAAATATGTTTTGATTGATCCAGATATAATTTGTATAACTGTATGTTTTTCTTGTTGGATCCAATGAAGCTTTTTATTTTATATTTCACCGGAGAGAGAAAGAATAGGTAATCATACTTTTTTGCGGGTTTGCATTAATGCTTGCCGTTTTACAGGAATGATGAACATTGTTGGTCTGCGCTTCTCCTGTTCTTCTTGTGCAAAAGCTTATAAATATAGACGAGACCTGGTACGCCATATCCGGGTGGAATGTGGGAAGGATCCACAGTGCCAATGCCCTTTCTGTGATTATCGCACTACATATCGTCATGATCTTCACAAACACTTGTTACGTCGTCATGCTATGGAATTTGCAGCTTTGAAGAATGCAGCAAGCTGACTTATGCTCTGTTGCAGGGAGCATAATGCTGCCTTTTCGCTGCCCATCCTGTTGGAAAGTTTACAAACATCGACGTAACTTGGATCGGCATCTAAAATTGGAGTGTGGCAAGGATCCGATGTGCTTGTGTCCAGATTGTGATTTTCGCACCAAGCACCGCCATGTTTTACGCAGACATTTATGGTGCAAACACCATAAAATTGAATAAAGACATAGCTCAAAATCAACTACAACAATGCTAGGATGTGCAAGTTGAATTTCAATGCTGGACTTAATTAATGTAGAAATTTAATTTTAATTTCAAATTTTATGTGATCTACATTTTACATATCTCTCATCACCAAAATTACTTTTAAATCTTACAATTTTTTAACCTTGTGTTTGATTATTAGCGTGTTAAAAAAGCAAAAAAGAACACTCTTCAATGAATTTGTTTTGATTATTTGTAAGAAATTCTAAATGTGTCAGTGAAGGCATATGTTTCTTCAAAGATGAAGAATAGAATTGCAACAAATTTATCTGGAAAAAGACTACCTTTAAAATACCTTTATAACCTAAAAATTGAGATAATTAAAGATCTTTTTTATACTTAAAGAGAACTCATAATTACAAACCCTTAATTTACTTATTCATTGGATGCAAACTTGTAAGTAGTTCCCAGCATGCCATGAATTCCAAGCTCTGTTGACAACAGGGCTGGTGTTGCAGGACGTTTCCGCTGCCAACGGTGTGGCAACACATACAGTCATCAAGGCAACCTGCAGCGTCATCTGCGTCATGAGTGTGGTCAAGCCCCACGCTTCCAGTGTCCACACTGTGCCTACCGATGCAAACGAGGTGATGGCCTCCGCTCTCATCTACGCTTCAAGCATCGGCTCTTAATTGGACCAGCAAATCGTGTAGATGTTTCCTGTCTTCGTATTCCTAATCAAGCTGCCCTCTCTTCCATGCCTTGATGCTGAAAATTCTTAAGATTGCTGGGTGCCAAGAAATGTCTGAAATGTAATTATCATTTCAGTGTAAAGATGTAATAGTTTAGATGAATATCCTTTATTGAGAAGAAAACTTTTATTGAAAATTGATAGCATGATATTCATTAACTTTTTCGCTGCTTGTGTAAGAGAATTAGGCATTGTGCGCCTCCTTGACATCATACAGACATCTAATTCTCAAAGCATTAAAAGTACATTATGATTTGGAATCGAACATACCTCTTGATTAGAATTTACAATGAAAACCTTGTAAAGAACCGAAAAACATATGATGGGAGGTAAACTGCTGCTTTCCTCTAATAATCTGCAGTTTTGTTTATTAAATTATTGTTAGTGCTTCCAAAGAAATTCTTCCAATGTAACACTTGCAATATTTGCAATACATCTTACTGTTTCCACGTTCTGTATGCAATCCAATGAAAACATATGTGTGGCGGATATTAACATATGCTTTGTAATTATATTTATGTCTATTGGAATTTTTATAATCTCTGTGAGAAAAGAAAAGCAAAAATGTACTTCCATTTGTAAATTATATGTCAAAAGTGAAAGATCTGTTTTGAGGAATTGCACTTTTGTCCAACATTACTTTTGTAAACAGTAATTTGTGTTGTTCACATGTTACAAAGTATTTGGGAATGAAATTGCAAACTCATTTAGGTTATCGTCTTACTTTTCACTTATGCTTTAGGTTTTATTAATTTGAGTTTTGATATTACTGACCAGTGAACAAATATGTTGGTATTGCTTGCAAATTGTCGTTTATTCTTTAGCTAAACAAAATATATAGAAGCAAAGCTATTAAAACTGTTTATAGCAGTTCTATTGTAGTACCCTTCATGGATTTACTTGGTTCATTTCACTAGCAACCCCAATGGTGTATAATTAAATGACTCTATGTGTCTCTTGTTACCCTGATAAAGTTCACACTGTGTGTTTGTTCATTATGTATTTTTTCTTCTTTATTTTGAGCATTTGTAGAAATAAAAGGAAACCAATTCTTGTGTATTCTAAATAATTAAGTAACTTCAACTTGCTCATCTTTTCTTTCAACCTTCCTGTACTTTTGTTTTTTTATTTTTTAGTATTCTATTATCTATGGCATGAATTTCCAACAGTTTGTTTTACAGTAGACTTTTCAATGGTCTTCCAGTGAATTTGTTTGTCATTGTAGATAGACAGATCCAACACTAACAATTTAGTGTGTGTTGTAGGAGCGGGACTTCAGTTGTGGTCTTCAGCATCACAGTTGGTCAGCAGTGGTATTCAAGACAATGCACCGCCTTTGCCTAATCTGCCTGTCTTCCCGTGTCCTAAATGCCCCAAGCTCTACAAGTACAAAAAGACCCTGAATCGACATCTGCGCCTGGAGTGTGGGAAGGAGCCACAATTCTCCTGTCTCTTCTGCCCACATCGTTCTAAGCAGAGGACAGATTTAATTAAGCATATGCGTAGCAAACACGGCTATTACTTAAAATAAATATAGTATTGACCTTTGTATAACGTATCATCATTTGGCAATATTCATGATTATGTTGTTGGAAATTTATAGAATGAAATATTGTTTCTTTTAATACAACTCTTTTATGTTTCCTGTATTAAATATTTTTGTGCATACTGTTATTTTTGGAAATTATCATTACTTTTGGATGCTGTCTACCACCTTTGAAACAAGTCTTCCTTTGGTTTATTGAGTTTATGCCTTTATGCGTGATATTTCTGATTCTTGTAGAAATGATCCAATGTGTTTAAATAGTACTGAATAGGATTGTTCAATAGTGTTGAAAGAAGAGTTGTTGGTTGAATCATTTAATAGCCTAAATTTTTCATTTTTCTCATAAAATAAATGTATGTTTTTTGCAGTTATTGAATGGTTGTTTTTAAGATGTGTTAAGTGACTATTTTAATGAACCGTGAAATAAGTAAAGGAAGAGTTAGTTTTATTTAGGTATTTAATGTATAGTAATTTATTCAATGTGATTTGGTTCAAAAAAGAAAAAATATGTACTCTAGAAATGAAGGAGGAGAGTGTATGTAATTTTTCTTAAGAGAAATGTCTTCTTTTATTTAAGAAAAATTAACTTTTACAGTTACAACAATCTTTTCAATGAAAATGAGTCAATAAAATGTGTTTTAGTACATTATGGGTGTTATTGGAGAAATTTTTCTTTTATGTTTTTTAGAAGTTTTGTTTTATCAAAATTGCATTCCTTAAATCAAATTTTTATTTATTATTCATCATTGTTTTTTTGGTCATTGGTTTAATAATCTCTTTTGTGTTAAATTTTTAAAACCAGTCAATGAAAATATTTATTTGTAGGCTCACAATTTCTCTCCTGTGCAGGGCTAAGCAGTAACGGTCCATATACTCGTTTTGTATGTGGCACTTGTGGCAAGAGTTATTCCTATCGACACAATCTTCTACGTCATCAGCGTGAAGAATGTGGTCGGGCACCACATCTGAATTGCCCTCATTGCTGCCATCGTAGCAAACGCATTGACAATTTGAGGATGCATTTACGTTTGAAGCACAATTCTGAAGAATTTGCTCAGAGGAGAGTGCACTGATGCATTTTACATGGATGTGAAAGTGAGTATGAATTGATTTTGTTTTTGGCAGAGGTGCAATACTGAACATTTAGTAATTATTGGGAATGTTATTGAGCACATAGTTATTTACTTAACCATTCAGTTATCTAAATAGAAGTAAATGTTTATTGTTATTTTGAATATTAACAGTATTTTTACATTATAAGATTTTCTTTTTTCCTTTTTTTTCCCTTCAATACACAAAACAGTCTATCATACTGTGGCTTATTTTAGATTGTATCTTAAAAGTTCAAATTCGAGATTTTCTGAAATATCCTTTAATTGTAATGCATTCAACAATATGAAAATACTGTTCTTATAACCAGAGTAATGTAAAAGTGTAGCACAATTTTTAATGTGACAATAAGTTTAATAACATCTACGAGATGTATTAAAACAAGGAGGTATATTTAAATTATCTTTGAACTTATCAAAACTTTCAATAAATTAAATATATTGATGGGATAATAATTTAAAGGTTGTAAACTATTCTGGTACTCTGTTATAATTTTTTTATTAATCAGTGTTTCAACATAGAATCAAATTTAATGTCAAGTACTTAATCAAAATTTTTATTCATTTGTAAGATTTAAATGATCTGTGTGTATTATATAAATGCATTGAATTTATGGTATCTGCATGAAAAGAGAAGGAATTATATGGTTTTATGATTAATGTTACTAATCATTTGAAACTGTTTCAGAATATCAACTAAATTGTAATGTAATTTATTTCTAGAACTATTTTTGGATTGAATATTTAAAGGTAAGAAGTTTTCTAAACTATATGAATGAGATTATTAATGCTTGCAATTATATCAATGTTAATGTTTGACCATTAAAAATTCCTGATTTTACCATTAAAAATGTATGTTTTATCATTAAAAATTCTGTAAGTGTTTTCATTTTCTCAAATTCTAGTTTGTACCTACTAGTGTTTCGAAAGTTACGTTATTCTGCAAAAAAATCAATGACAGACTTTTGAAACACATTTTGTGGGACCCTGATACTAAAAAAGTGTTTGTTGGTGTTGGAGTTTTTTTTTTTTTTTATTACCTTTTTCAAAACCTGTATCCATCTATCTGGGAACATCACTTGTTCCTAAACCACTCCAGGATTTTTTCAATATGATTATTCTTGGATAGATCTGGCACTACTTGAAGTCCCGCAAATTTGAAATGATTTTTTTATTTTTAGAGATACTTTTGCATAATTTTCACGAGAACGGGTTATTTTTTTATAAAAAAAAAGTATCAGTATGCTCTTATGAATAAGATAAAAGCCCTATTTTCATTAAAATATCTGAATTTTAGGAAATTGCAAAAGTCACTTTCTTCAAACCTTTCACATCTACGTATTGAAACTTGATATTTTTACTTTCGTTTTTAAGGAATTTTCTCCTCTCCTTCCCTGTCAAAATATCAGTGTTTTATGGACAATTCTGAGTAAAATGTGACTTCCAAAAATTTTTGAAGCCAGAGTTTTTCAAAAAGTCTTCAAATTTTTACTCTTAAGACACTACTCACTGAATATAGTTTCACTGGAAAGTGTTCAATGAATAGTATTTGTACACACACTATTCACTGAATTACATTATATAATTGTTGTTCTGATAACATCTTTTAAATTTCCAAAAATGATACATACATAATTTTTTGGAACCTCTGGAAGATTCTTAATATTTATATTACAGATATATTTCATAGTTTAATGTATATGTGAACAGAATTGCTTTAACAAACTTCTTATGAAGATTTTGGAATTTTAAAATATTTTCGAGAAAAGCAATCTAAAAATGCTGCATGAAAGCTGGTTCATGGAAATTCAATAGAAAGTACTAATAGTTGTTTGCTGATTTTTCAGAAAATATATTCTCATCATATAGTTATATACGCACGAGATCAAAACAACTCTGTCATAATTAAAGACTAAGTACATTTTCTCCTTTACAAGTTATTGCAACTACATAACAACTGCACAACAAAACTAGCAAACATGGATAGAAAAAAAATTGTACAATGTCTTACAACAATAATAACAACTTATTCCGAGCTGGAGAATTTTTAAGAAAGGTTCTCAGGTAGTTTTTTTATTGTGAGGTATTGTTCAAATATTATATTATTATTTCCAAGCCCATTTTAATTACACTATTAGATGTATGAAAAATTATGAAAATTAGTAAAAATGTGTTGCGTCTAATTTTTGGGTTTATGACATTTTGTGATAAGTTCGAGAACTTGTAGGAAAACATTAATTTGTAGGTGGAAGAGATAAAATTTTTAATGTGGAGTATACATTAAAGTATTGTTACTATGGCATCAAATTCTGTTGAGCATTATTCATATAAACTACACATAAAGTCAAATTTGCTTATGAAATGGTTCTTGAAAGTGATAGGATATTGATATTTATTTACTAGAATATAAGATAACTTTCTTTTCTAAATATCTCATTCGAAAAAATTAGGCTTGTCTTGTATTCAATATATTATTTGTGGCCCTCTGGTTAGAAATATTGTATAATTTTGTTAAATTAATTATTTTAAGAATCTCAATCTTTATAATGATTAACATCAATATATGAGTTTTGTGTGTTCTTTATTATAAACATTGACTTTCTTAAATAATTGGACAAAATTATATGATATTGTGTTTTATTTACAAATTAAGATGAGTCAGTTGGGATCTATGGTTTTACATTGCCTTTCCACAATCAGAATTTCAAATACTGATGAAACAATAAGCTACAAAGGTGATAAAAATCCGTGTCTACAATATATAATACTTCTGTATATTTGTAGAGGACTTTTGTATTTTGCATGTGGATGCATTAACACCATTCTTTGTGGAGGGATTTGTCAGGGGATTCAGTCCCGATATTTTCAACTGGACAATAATGGTAGAATATCAAAAAAATTATGTAGTAACTGAAAATGAATAAACATTGCTGAAATTTTGTTACATAATGCTTTGATTGATGCCTTATGAGTGCAAATCTGTGTTTTGCTAGAAAAAGAAATGGGTGAAAACAAACAAAAGAACAAAAATAATAAACAAAAAACAAAACAAAAGAACTTTAGTAGAAGTATGCATTCTACATCCAACCACAGAAAAAAAAATTAATAATAATAATCCCCAAGTACTATGCAAATTTTAAGTTAATTGTTGGTAAAGAAGCAGAGAAAGAATAAGAAAACAAAGAAAATCTGAGTAAACTGGAGGGAATGTTCTCATATGGTGTTAACAAAAGATAAATAATGCAAGTTCAACATGCTAGACTTTTTAAGGAGCCTTTAAAGTTGGAGAAGGACGAGAAGGATGATGAAGACGGTAGCGGCAAAAACAATGTTTTTCATGATTGTAAGGAACAAGATAATAGTTATAAATTAGGGAAAAGGGTGTTATCTTCTCAACAAAAAAGTTTTTTTTGTAGCTAATGAAACAATTTGTTATGTTATTTTGACTGAATAGTAAGAATTTGTTAAAATTGAAAAAAATTCTCATATGGCCTCTTCAAAATTAGAAGAGAGCTTGTATTAAGTTGTTTTATGTTAGAACAATGTAGTAATTATGTGCTGTATTTCAAGCCTAGCAAGTATTCCAAGGCTTCAAGATGATGTTTTTGTCATTTGAATTATATTCGTAATGCTTTAATTTATATTCATCCACTCAGCATCTTTTTGTTTACTTATTGCCAAATTCTGGGCAAATTTTTTGTGGCTTCACTCTAAGAACAAATTTTTGTGCAGTAATGTTTATCATTGTCAACGGTTTTATGGCATCCTAAGTTGATTGTTCCTCAGTGTAGAATTTAAGAATATGGATTTTGCATATTGATGTTTTATCATTAGTATTAATTATTAGTAGTAATTATTTAGTAAATCAAAGATGAACACATGATTTCTATTCTTTTTATTTAAATTTTTAAAATTACCAAAAAATATTTCATTTCAAGTTTTATGTTCTAGAAATGTATCACGTATATTATTTCTGTCAAAACTTGCAAATTATATTCTATATATAAAATAAAACTGAATCCCAAGTAGGCATTTTGGTACTTGGCATATAAAACTGAGGGAAAAATCCCTACCTACATTTGAGTTTCTACTTAAAATTCTTCTCAAAACACGTACAATACATTTCTCTCATTCCTTTGACATAATTCTATTTTAATTTTGGTGTACAGACATTATCATAATATGTTTGACATTTTCCCGAGCTACTTGTGTTGTGTGTTTTGGTCTTACTTTCGTATGACTAGTATGCTACTTCTTAGGAGCAAAGGGTACATATTCACAGCAGGACCAGACATACCTTAGCAATAATAAAAATTTCATTCAAGTCGGTAAAAAGTGAAAAGTGGAATTTTTCCCCCAAAATCAAATTATAGCACGCAGAGAAAACGAGCCTGGGGCAGGTATCGATAGTAGTCCCTAAACTAACGTTCCCTCCTCGTACATAAACGAAATTCATCTTTCCATGCAACAGAATTGACTTTCAGCATCTAATTAATTTAGACTAAATTGGCATTTTTTCACTTCACCCTTGAATATTTAAACCTTTCTCTTTCTTTAACAAGCTGCTTCTAGGCTGGATTCTAAGTTATTATATGTAATTGTTGTCCTTACAAATTATTTCTGTTACATTTGAAGTGTTATATTTGTTACTACACAACTGCACAAACCATGAGATTTCCTCTAATTTATTTGTTACTGGATAGACATGAAAATCTGGCAATGCATTTAAAACAGTTACCAGCTTCACAATAATTCATTCTATCAGATTTTTTACCATTTCAAAATTAGTAAAGAAGTTACCACAAAAGAAATATGTTCTTGAGGTTTGTCAGTGATTTCTATTAGTTACATAATCTAATTACCAGTGCGAAGGTTGTCTATGGATCATTATTCCTTCTTTTTCATAAATTTCTTGGTGAAAGCAAAACTTAATTTTGGTGCAGCACACCATCCAATCCTGAAATTTGAAATGTATTAGTTTTCCTTTCAAACATTTTTTGAGATGATGTACTTCAACAATACAATTACATTTAGAAGAAATACTAAATTTTGTAATATGCAAGTTAAATTTAGGAGGCCAGACAAATGATAAAAGGCTTCCCAAACAGTTTTGCTAAACCCAGAACACAATGTTTGTTCTTACAATATGCAAAGTTCCGTGATACCCAAATAGGAAACGAAAGGAAAATGTCACAATAGAATCATTGAGGATTCAGTGATTAAATAGGCAATAATATTGGCAAGCAAAGGCTCAAAATTTGAGAGTATTTATCCTAAAAATGCTCTACCAACAAAAGTATAGGTTTGAGAACCAAACAAGTATGTGTTTCAGTTCCATCGCATGAAAGTACTAACATCCGCTTGTTTCACAATAATTTTCATCCCTCAATGAAGTTCTAAGAAACGCTTGTTATCAGCTCTGGGCTCTCTAAGGTTTGGTTATAGGAATGTTACTGCAGTAATAAAAAATTAATGACACCAATGTAATGATAACAAATGATCATGGTACTTAATTTGTTTGATTTCAGTGTTGGAATGCATAAATAATTTTTTCCAGGCAAATCATGCATTTAATTATTATGATTTATTATGTAAAATAGTATTGAAGAAATTTAATATTGTGTTGCTATTATAGAGCATTTGGTGCAAAGAATATTTCTTAATTCACTGTAACAAAGTGTGTACATATACACCCTAATTTCTGCGTTATCATCTTAAAAGCAAACCCATTGTGTTTAATTTTCCAGTGAGTCTCAAGATTTCTATTTGATGAAAGATTTTACATGTGTGTCTTCTGAAGATTTAGAACTAATTTTCATTTTCTTCATATGTAAATTAACATCTTTGAGAGAGTATAACATGCAGTAACAAAGATCCCAAATCAGGAGTGTGTGCAAAGAAGACAGTCTAGACTTTTTCCAAATACCAACTTTCAGGAGAGACTCGTTGGAAACTTTATAGAAATCTTTCAAATTATTCAAGATAATTACAACTGTTTATTTCTATTAGACTTCATTAATCATAACTCCAACAAGACTGTTGATTCCCTACATGTAAGTAAGATGAAAAGCAAATTTTTGAAAGCTTTGAAACCAATTAAAAGTTATCTTACACAATCAAGTACATTTTATAAAACTTAAAAATGTTTTAGAACTATGATACTTATTAAATGGTTTGTGGCTGTAATAAATGTGTCAAGATGATAGAGATATGCTTCTTTTTTTTTTAATTACTTGTTTTTAATTTATTTATTTGTTTACAATGATCAGCCAGATGCCCAATTTTACATTTGTAGAATATACAGATTGTATTAGGTGAACAAAACATGAGATATACAAGAATATATTTATTATTATTATTTTACCAGTATTGATTGTTTGATATACATTGTTTAGTGTGCGTAAAAAAACAATTGCTATTGTACTGCAAATGACAGTAAATGATATTTGAGTGAGTAAATAAATAATTCCAAACTATCATCCCAGAGTATTAGCATTTACATGTGTTTCTCTGCATTTGGTAATTTTAGGCCAACATTTTTCATATTGGTTTTTTATTTCTTCGGAAATTCTAGTTATTTTCCGAATGAACTGCAATTATGTCCTTTTTTTAAATGAAAGGTGTAAAGTGATGTTCAATGTCGTAATTCTTTACATATTTAGAATTGAAACTAAAATATGTGTTGCCTTATGTAAAATATAAGTTAATGTTGCCTCAGGCCCCTATAATTCTTTTCATAATATGTTATAATCAATAATATAAGTTAAATAAGATAGATTTTTCCCTATACAATTTGAATATTGCTCCCTGTTGATGTTTTCTTTTCTGAAATTGATGTTCAACCTGGATAATTTTTCTAATCTAGAAACATTTCTGGATTATTACAGGAACTTTCTCTGACACCCCTGCTTCTTACACTGTTGAGGCTGCCTTCCCATGTTGGGCATGTGGCCGGGTGTACCGACGAATGTCTACTCTGCAACGACATGTGCGATATGAGTGTGGCAAGGAGCCCCAGTTCGCCTGCCAGTGGTGCCCCTATCGAGCCAAGCAGAAGAGTAATTTGGCCACTCACTGTCGAATGTTGCATCCATTGGCTCAAAGTGAAAAGGGCCACAACATGTAGTGATGTGTACAGAAACTCATTAAAAACATTCTGTGCTCTTAATCAGTTCATTTTATGCAGCAGTCTCCTTTCTCCTCACATTCCTGATCCCACTACTTCTTCCAAGCATACTTACTTTCAGTTTTTGTCTCCACTTCGTTGCAGGAGGAGACGTGGGCTTTGTATGCGGCGTTTGTAACAAGTTCTACCGCCACCGCTCAACACTACGCCGCCACTGGCGCTTTGAGTGTGGTAAAGAACCACAGTATGCATGCCCTGTGTGCCCACACCGTACCAAGCACAAGCACGACCTTGTGAAACATGTGCGAGCAGTCCACAGTCCACAGTGGCCTGCTCCAACATCTTTGCCACCCCCAGCTGTGCTGCCTCCTGGCCCACCTCCGCAGCAACCTGGTCCACCCTTACCACCACTGCCACCTGCACATCGTTGAGCTGAGTAAGGCATCCGTTGCAGGTGCAGGAGCAGGAGGGAGTACGGACTGCGGTGAGCAACGCCAATATACATGTGGAGCATGCGGCCGCCGGTACAAGCACAGCTTCAGTCTCAGCCGACATCGTCGTCTAGAGTGCGGCAAAGAAGCTGCCTTCCAGTGTGTGGAGTGTGGCTTCTGCACCAAACGCAGTGACAACCTTTGGGCACACGTGCGTGCCCGCCATATGCGCAATCGCACATCTGCTGATGATCCTGCTGTAACCAGTGGAACAAATGCTCCTGTTCCTCAATATCCTCGGGCACCATTTCCCTGAGTAATTGCTCTCAAATGCATATATACCTGCTCTCTGTTATTATTTCTTCCTAACTTCTTCCTGTGTGCTCATTCTTAATCCTGATGAATCATGGCTGTTTCATATATCCACCTGCTACTTCTCTCATCTTCGTCAATCCTTGCATCATGCCACTACTGTGGCAGCCACTGACAGCCACATGCCTGTTGCAGCACAACCACCTCCTGCCCCACCTGCTGCACCAGCTGTAGTGCACCCTGTGCCAGCAGATGCTGGCTTCCCCTGTGCACTGTGCAAGCGACGCTACTCTCATCTCTCAACACTGACACATCACCTTCGTTACGAATGCCGAACCAAGCTCGCTTGCCCTGTCTGTGGACGCCGCTTCAAACTACGTAATCGACTGCAACGACATCTGGCAACTTTTCACCCTGGTGCTAGCGGCAGTGGTCCAGCTCCATCATCTCATTAGCTCTGATTTTTAGTTTGTTGCATCTCAGGTGGAATAAATGTTGCAGCAGTATGTGTTTGTGACTAATGAGTAATGATTGAATGTGGGTAAATATAGTGGAACATTTTCCGGTACCTGTTTCCAGTTGTGGTGCCTTTCAGAAAGTACACAGTGTGCACCCTGTGGACCAGGTACAATGCTTGTAAAAAATTATTGTGTGGTCTGAAGTTGTCTGTATACAGTTGCTACTATACATTTTGTTTCTTACATGAGACTATTGGTTCTGGGTTGCATTAGTTATGATCACAGCACCAAGATACGGACTTGTTCTACAGCCCTGAACTCTTCTATGTGCCCTGTGATTTAATCTGTATAAATTTAAATAAAATATTGTGTACAGAAATATTCTGGTGTTTGAAATATAAATTCTGCACTCCACCTAGCCTCCTGACATCAGGCTGATGACACTGGAAAAAATTCAGTGACTGAGAATGGTGGTTAGAATTGGTTGAGCACTGAGTAGTGTATGCGCTGGCGTGTTGCAGGTCAAGATATGAAAGCAGTGAATTGGACTCCAATGCTCCCTACAGGACCCCTAAGACCACCTTTGCAGCGTGGCTTTGCATGTGCTCGTTGTGGTCGTTGCTACAGCCACCAACCAACTTTGAACCGGCACACCCGCTTTGAATGTGGCAAGGAGCCACAATTTCCCTGCATGTTGTGTCCACACCGTGCAAAGCGGAAGAGTCATCTCGTGTCTCACTTACAGACAGTGCACAAGCTTGAACTATGATGTCAATATTCCTTGCAATTCTCATCCAACCCGATCTTCAGCTTGGCACTCCCCTCTGTATTTATTTAAGTGCAATAAAGAAATGTTACAATTGTTTTGTCTTCAACCAATATCCTACCCATTTATTTCCTTCCTGTAGCCACAACTACAGCCTTTCCAGCTCTTTTCTGTTTCAGGATTGGAAAAGTGTGGTCAAGTAGTGGACTCATTTACGGGAAAGCCTGAGCCTTCTTCCTTTCTCTGTAAAACATGTGGAAAGAAGTACCGATACCGCAGGAACCTACAGCGTCATTTAGCATTTGAATGTGGCAAGGAGCCACAATTCTCTTGCCCAATGTGTTCCTACCGTGCTAAACAAAAGGGAACCCTAGACTCTCACATTTGGGCACAGCATCAGAAGTATTCTTGTTATCAGCATTTCACACTATGATATATTAATGTATTGATTGTGTTCTTCTGAAACAAATAATAAATAAGAAAATATCCAACATAATTTTGTCAAATTTGTATTTATATACTCAATGAATGTCTTTTATTTGTTATGTTTGCAGAATTTTTCTGTTCTAGAGACAATGTTGACCAATAACCAAGTGTCTGTTGTCTTTCTAACTAGTGATGCTAACTTTTTTGCAATATCTTTGGAAAGGAGCTGTGCTCTTGCAGCAGCACCCAACTTTGTAATATGGAAAGAAACCTCAATGTCTGTGCCTCATCATGCTCTCTTAAAAGATACATGTTTTGGTCAGTATGTCTGAGGTGCATGGCACTTGAAATAGTCCTAGTTTTCTCCTTGCTTTTCATGGGTGGGAGAGGCATGCCTCTGCATGCTGCCTTCAATGTCCCATAACTATGTAAACATTGTGATTGCCTGAGCATGAGCTCAGACTTGCATATTTTGAGTTATAATGTAGCTATACATTACTGTTCTTCTGTCTCTGAAACTGCTATTTTCTCATAAACCATTTCTTCATTGGTGTTTTCTTCAGGAAACAAATCAATTATTGTTGAGACATTGTTAGTGACAATGGAGCAGTATTTAACTGCTAGGAAAAAGAGGGTGTACCATCAATATCTTGGATCTCTGTACATTGGAGTTAAGGTGTGAAAAGCAGGGGAAAATCATCACATACATTCAATTTGTTTCTCATTTCAGAAGCATGTAATTACAAATATGATTGATTCTTTGCCATTTAAATTCTTGATAGTTGAAATTTCTGTTTGTATTTTTAAAAACAATCGGAATTAGTAACTGATGGAAAAATATATAGGTAAATGGGAAAATTAAGTATAGTGTCATTGAGTAAAATTACCGAAACTACAAATTGATTACTTGAATAATACAACATAAGCTTGTACTTTTCTCTACTTGTGGAAATCAATGTTACTTTCACTGATCTTTCATTGAATGAATTGTTTCTATGTCAAAGATATTTGTTTTTGTATTGCTTGATTGTGCTTCAGTTATAATTCTTAATCCTCATAGAAGATTTATTGTGGAGTAATTCTTTATGGTCAATCTAGGAAGTTGTAAAGGTCGAGAGTAACTGACGGATACTAAAAATCAGAAATTTTGATGGAAATGATTGTGTGCAAGTGGCTGTATTAAGAGGACAATAATGATAGGCATACATATGCTTAAGTTTCATAAGTACATAGACATAATATTGCATTTCGATGTACGTTTTATTTCAAATTCAGTGTTATTGTGAAGGAGTTGTTGAACGGTGCTTTTCATTAGCTACTGGTAATAATATCTACTTGTACATTAATTATTCTATGATGAATACGTCAGTTTGTTAATGAATAAATATAAGAAAACAACATTGATCATTCAAAATTAATAGTTAGTAATATAAATAATTTAATTAATAGATACATTATTTAGTAGTACAAAACAGTATACATTGTAAATGAATACAATGTATACTACTTCTGTGTGCTCAAATAGCCAATATGTGTCATAGATTGGCATTATATAGGTGAAATTTGAGCTACAGTTCCTTCTACATGATATACTGAAGTCGAATGTTTAGTTTATGCTTCTAAATAAATCTGACATGCTTATATGAGTATAATTTCCATTAGTTGATTTAATAATTTACTTCTGAAAGATGTTATTACCTTTCTGGATGACTGAGAATGGCAAGCTTCTTCAAAGAATTATAAAAATTTGTGAAGAATGCACACAATATCGTAAAACCACAAACAAAACAGACCAACACTTCATGTTGTTTCTGCCTTAGTATGATCTTATCTCACTATTGCGTTGTAATTTTAAAGAGTTCATTTTAAAGTTGTCTTTTGTGCAGCTCTCTTTCAGAATTTGTTCTTGGTGTCTTCAAAGTTTGCTTTCTCAATTAATGCTGCTTAATAGGGTAAAGTATGCCATATTTGTAGAACACCTTCAGTTTCACAGCTTAGTCTATTTGCTATGGATTTATTTCATTACTGAATTTCACTTGGGGTAAATTAACAATTTTATTGCAACTTTCGAACTATAGATATGCTAAATTGGCAATTGTGTAATATTTTATTTGTTGAGTGATGAATATATAAGTAAATTCAATATTCATATTCACTCCATTTGAACAAAATATACATCAGCAGAGTCTGATCTGTTGCAGGTGCAGAGGAGGGCATACAGCAGATGTTTGTTTGTCAACCATGTGGGCGACGTTACAAACGCAAAAACACCCTGATGCGTCACATCAGATATGAATGTGGAAAAGAACCAAAGTTCGCATGCCCACATTGTCCATACCGTGCTAAACAGAAGCAAGGACTGCAATCTCATATATGGTCACAGCACGAGCGCTCAACATTAATGAACCATCACTTCGGAGAAATGACTGTAACTCGTTAACTTTGTAATCATATCTTCAAAAAGTGAAAAGCAAAATTAATAAATTTAAAATATAGTGATTAGTTGTGTCCAGTCTTATGTGGTTTTTTAAGTATTAAGAATAAAAATTGATGTGTACGTGGTTAATTTTTGAAGCATTTGTGGAAACTATACTTTGTTGGAGTAACTGGTAAATTTTCTCTGTAGTTGTTGGTAATACTTTTCTTTAATTAAATAAAGGTTAAACTTATCTTTGATATTTCTAGTGAGAGTGTCATTATTTATGAAAAACAAAGGTTTCAGGAATTATTTGTTTGCGAAATAATCTCTTGAGAATTTTTATTGATGAATGTTTTTGAGAATGAAATTAAGATTTTTTTAAAATTTTGAGGTTTGTTTTGTTTTGTTCCTTATTCCCCTTCTCCTTTTGTTTCTCAGATTTTAGAACATCTGAAAATGGGTGGCACATCTAATTTAAAGAAATTTGTGTTACAATGTATGTAGGAAAAGCATTCAAATTTTTGAACCTTGCCTAGTGATCACATGCTTTTTTATATCTACTTTGGCTTTATTTTTACTTTGTGAAATGTGCATGTGTTTTTAAAATTATTCCTTCCAGTCTCTTTGCAAAGTGTTTAATTTCAAATCTCCAAAAATGTTGCAGTACAATGAGTTTACTTGCTGTTTTGAACTTAAATCATAAATTATTTTAAGTTTACTTTACTCAGTTGAAAAAGTAAACTTAAAATAATAAATAATAATAATAATAAATGCAGCTTCTAAAATGTCACAAAAATGTACTCTCTGTTCACTGTTCTTTTTCTTTTTGGTGTAAAATGTGATTTAAATTTTCACTTCTATTTAAGTGTTATAAAACAATAAATGAGTCCATTATGAAACTAGAAAATGATACTTATAGTTTAAAACAATAACAAAACGTGTTCTCTTTTTGAAACATAATTCTGAAGATCAGTGATGAGTTTCGCCTACATTTATTTGTTCTTAACTACTGTCTTCTCGTCTTCAGGTAGGTTTAGTTGTTGTCATGTTTTCATTAATACTGTCTTGGTTAGATGTCTTCTTTCTTTCATAATCATTTACTTTGTGCCCTTCAACAAAATTTGGTTTGTTGCAGGAGCTAGGGAGCACCTTGTACGGGCATTTGTTTGCCCAACCTGTGGTCGTGACTACATACGTAAGCATTCATTGGTGCGCCATATTCGATACGAGTGTGGCAAAGAGCCACAGTTCCAGTGTCCACATTGCCCACATCGCTGCAAACTAAAGGAGAATCTTGTTCGACACATGCTTTCTCGGCATGGACTTGTATGATGAGAAACAAACAAGAAAACTGAGTACTTATGTTTCACATTCCAGTTACAAAAGTGACTTTAATGGGCTTTCATTGTTCTGATTGTTTCGGTTAAAAAATTTGTAAACAACCTTGAGATAAATTGTCATTAAAACTTTTCATATGTATCATATTGGTTTGCAGCTTACTAACAAGAAGATTAAAATAAATAATAATCTTGAGAAGTAAGGCAAATGAATTAAATTACTTGTGTCTTGATATTTAAAAATTCAAATATTAAATCACATACAAAAAGGTTTAGGGAATCATACAGGTTTTGAGTGTTTGATAAGCTGGTTGAAATAATTTCAACAACAGAATATGAATTTAATTGATATTTCTGAATGGATTTTAGTAATGGCATTTTTATTGATTCACATAAGTAAAAGCATTATTCTCTCCCATTTGTTTCACCTTTGTCACTAATTTGTTTCTTCTTTCCTCTGTGTACAATTTAAATGTCAAATATAAAAAAAAAAAAATTATGATATATTTCTGTTGTAATGATAGTATCACTTGATGTGTAAGTTGTCTAAAAAGGGTAACTTTGAATTCCTGAATTTGAATTTTATAAATCTGATTACACTTTTCCCTGTTTGAACCTATATATAATCCCATTTCAGGTTGAAAAGATGTTTCATATTGCAAGTTGTATATTTGATTTTTTTGGGATTTCTCTAGAACATTTATTTCAATTGTGTAGCATCACATTTGAGAAGAATTTGTTTTGTTAGTAAATTGTAAAAATAAATGTTGTCTTTATAGTTTTGGAATGTTTCAAAGCTGTCATTGCATGGAGCAGTATGTTGCATGTTTGTTATATAGTATAAGGGAGCTAATACGTCTTTCAAATTGAAAGTGTATTTTAATTCATATGTGCATGTTGAACATGGGATGTTTCAAAAGTGGTAGTAATTACTTTTAGATGTAAAAAAAACAACAAAAAAACAACAACAACAAACCCAGCTCATATTCATTTGAAGATAACAATGAATTTTTTGAGGTATTGTAAGTTTTTGTTGTTTTGCATAAGCCTACATGCATATCGCTGCAGAT